ACCTCCATGCCATGGATGCGTTCCTGGCACTGCTGGCAGCAGATTCTCCATCCCAATCCTGGATTGGCTCAGTTGGTCAGGGCACAGTGCTAATAATGCCAAGGCTTTGGGTTCCATCCCCATATGAGGCCATTTACTTAATAACTGGACTTGATGATCCTTGTGGTTCCCTTCCAACTCAGAATATTCTGTGATTTCTGGGAACATCTCTCCATATGTGAGGTGCCCATGCCTCCAAACATTGTGCTGAAGGTGAAATGAAAGCAGACTTAGACTTTTGCTCTGGTCATTTTCACTCTTTGGAGTGGAATTTTTGCATCTCTGGAGGGTTTTTTTTACCAGTGAAGGTTTCACCCATGCGATCAAGAAAGGGGCGCTGGATCAGGTCTGTGAATTATTTATATTTAAAAATAGCCACAAACAGGTTCCTGCATTTTATTGCAGACTGGAATATTTACAATATAAAAAATCATATAAATTAAAATATATAAATCAAAACTCAAAATGGTCCCACTGGCAGCCATGGACCTCATTTCTTTCTGCCTGCTGCTACCTTGGCTCCTCAGACACTTCCAGGGGTCATTTTGCTGTTTCCTTGGAAGGGGCTGCCCAGGGAGGTTTGGAGTCCCCATCCCTGGAGGTATCCAAGGAAGGCCTGGAGGTGGCACTCAGAGCTCTGAGCTGGGGACAAACTGGGGATGGGGCACAGCTTGGCCTTGATGACCCTGGAGGTCTTATCCAACCTAAATCATTCTGGGATTTTATTTTTTCTGACTTTTAAGTCCTTGGAGAAATATGGCTCAGGCAGTGCCCTTATGGAGTCTTTCTACAGAAGCTTCCTGAATTTGGCCTATTTACACCAAATGTGTTTGACAGAATGAGGTATTTTATAGGGTGAATGAGGTGTTCTGTAGGGTTTCTACAGCCGAATGAGGTGTTCTGTGCTAAAATGAGGTATTTTGTAGCAGAATTCTCTCCCAGAACAGGGGATTCTGTAGGGTTTCCCCCAGAGCAGATCTGTGGCCACCTGCAGAAAGCACAAAGGACATCGCCACCTCCTGGCAAAGGGACAGGAACGGTTTGACACTGGCGGGGAAAGGAGCTCAGGGTCCTTCCCTGTGATTGCCAGATTGCGCCGACCCTGCCAAGTCCTGGTGCTTGTGGGTGGTGGGAAGGGGCACCAGAAAGGTTGTGCTGTCAAGAAAATCACGGAGAGATGGAATATCCTGAGCTAGAAGAGACCTAAAAGATCATCCAGTGCAGCCCCTGTCCCTGCAGAGCCACCCCAAACCCCACCCTGAGCAGCCCTGAGGGCTCTGTCAGTGAGGGGCTGGGAACACAAACCCTGTGAGGAACAGCTGAGGGAGCTGGGGGTGCTCAGCCTGGAGAAAAGGAGACTCAGGGGTGCCCCCATCGCTCTGTGCAGCTCCTGAAAGGGGCCTGTGCTCAGCTGGGCTGGGCTCTGTCTGCAGCAGCACTGACACAACCAGAGCACACAGCCTCAAGCTGTGACAAGGGAAATATAGATTGGATATCAGGAAAAAAGTATAGTTTGGATATTAGGAAAAAGTTTTTTACAGAAAGGGTAATAAAGTTCTGGAATGGCTGCCCGGGGAGGTGGTGGAGTCACCACCCCTGGGTGTGTTTAACAAAGCCTGGATGTGGCACTGGGTGCCAGGGTTCAGCTGAGGTGTTGGGGCTGGGTTGGACTCGATGATCTTGGAGGTCTCTTCCAACCCAGTGATTCTGAAATTCTGTGAATTCTGTGAGTCTGTGTCCAAATGCTCCTGCAGCTCTGGCAGCCTTGGGACCATTCCCTGGGGATCCTGGGCAGTGCCCAGCAGCCTGGGGGGGAAGAACCTTGCCCTGAGCAGGAATTCTGCTCTGCAGCAGAAAATAATCAG